AATTAGTTGCATACGAACCCAATGTATATTGGTACAAACTGACTTCATACCCGATCATCTTCCCATACGAACTAAGTTTGTCCGGTACGAACAATTATATCATGGGTTAGTTTAGATGAACTGCAGGACATTCTCAAAATTTCAAGAGACAGAATAATTCATCCTGGTACGAATAAGAGTTCGTCTGGATGAAAATTTTCTAGAGAGTTTCGTCCTAAAACAAATATAGGATTTTGTCTGGTCGAAAATTTTCCAGAGAGTTTTCTCCTGGGACGAATATAGGATTTCGTCTAGATAAAATTTTTCTAGAGAGTTTCGTCCTAGGATTAATATAGGATTTCATATGGACAAAAATTTTCTAGAGATTTTCATCTTGGGACGAATATAGGATTTCGTATGAAAGAAAATTTTCCAGAGAGTTTCATCCTGGCACAAACAAGATGAATCATTTGGACTATCATCACAAAGTGAGAATCCAGAGCAGATCATCCCGGGCTGAATTAGGAAATTCGTCTGGACGATCAGGACTTAAAAAATTATCTCACTTCACGTTTGTTCCATTGCTATTCCAAGGGGATTAACTGACTTGATCGTCCCGTACGAACATGGTTCATCCCGTACGAACATGGTTCGTCCCGTACGATCAGTGTGATTTTTAAAGATCTCCCCAAATGTGTGTGTGCTAGGCTATTTAATTAAAATCATATTTTTTAAAACTTAATTACAATAAAAATTACAAACTTCAATTTATAAACTATCTCATGCTGAATTTGATTTGAAGTCTTTGTTAGTCTGGAGTTCGATTATCCAGAAATGTTAGTCCATACAACTGCAAAGACAATTCTTCTAAAAAGTGTTAGGAGAAAATAAAAATTTAAAATAATAATATTTGGAATCATCAAAACTATACAAGTTACAATAAGATAAAACATGCAAATAGTAACTCTCTCAATACGGGCAATGGAATTCTTATTCTTGACAGAGCAATTTGATCCCTTACCTTGACTGTAATTTGAATGGCATGCATATAGAGCTGTGATACCATGAAAGAACCAAAGAATAAGAGGAGAACCGAAGGGAAGAAACCAGAGGAAGAAAAGAAGAAACGTAGCAGATAAGAAAAAGAAATAAATGTGATGTATTTGATCTATGCAAGGTGTTAAGAGAGTTGCTACTTAACTTTTGCATGTTTTATATTCTTGCAACTTGTTATTTTGATGATTCAAATTATTATTATATTGATTATTAATTTCTCCTAACATATTTTGGAAGAAATGTTTTTGGCTCTTATGTGTACTAACATTTCAGGGAAATCATACTCCATATTATTGAAGACTTCAAATAAAGATCTGATTATAATATTTTATAATTTGGACTATGTATTTTATTTATCTTTGAGTCAGAGAGTGTGATTATAATTGAGTAACTTACCATACACACACTGGAGGAGATCTTTAAAAGTCAAAATTTTCTTATACTAATCGTACGGAACGAATCAAGTTCGTACGAGACGATCAGGTAAGTTATACTCCTTGGAGAGCAATGGAACGAACAGAAAGTGAGAAAAATTTTCTAAGTCCTGATCGTCCAGATGAATTTACCCAGTTCATCCCTGGACGATGTCCTATAATTTCTCACTTCGTACTGTTCATCCAGATGAATTGCCCAATTCATCCCTGAACGATGTTATATGATTTCTCATTTCATACTGTTCGTCCAGACAAATTATCTTATTCGTCCCTAGATGATTTCCTTTGTATTCTCAACTTAAACAGTTCGTCCAAATGATTTTGCCCATTTCATCCCAGGGCGATGTCCTCTGGACCCATGACTTGAACTAATCATCCAAACGATTTTACCCTGTTTGTCCCTGGACGATGTTCTCTGGACTCATGCTTCATACTGTTCGTCCAGACGAACTTATACATTCGTCCCCGGATGATGTTCTATGTTCCTTAAATATATGGATTGTCCTGCAATTTTGTTTCAACGAAGATTGGAAAAAACCATTCGTACCGGACGAACTATGTTCTTACGGGATGATGATCGAGTATGAAGTCATTTCATACCAATGCATATGGAGTTCGTACGCAACAGTTTTTACACTGTTCGTACGTACGAATTTTGATCATATGGGATGATCGAGTATGTACAAATTTGAAAAATTATAGTTTTTGGACAGTTTTTCATGTCTTTCTTATAAAATGTTCACTTAAAACTGTCTTATAATCTTTTTGTTCACTGGTCTTCGTGCAAATTGAAGAGAGATTGAAGGAGAGAGTGTGAGAGAGTGTTTGAAGGAGATTTCTTACTACTGGAGTGTGAAGGGTTCACTTGGTACTCAAATGTAAGGATCTTCATTTGTGAAATGTGTTTACTTCACTCTTTTCTCTTGTCTTTCCAGATTTTTCGTGAGAAGATATTGTCAAGAAGTTTCGGTTCTCTACTGACACTCGAGGAGTGTGAACAGCGGGAGGGTTCTCTGCTTATACTTGGAGAAGTGTGAAAGGACGAAGGGTTCTCTGCCTACACTTGAAGAGTGTGAACAGCGGAAAGGTTCTTTGTCTATACTTGGAGAGTGTGAACAGTGAGAGGTACTCTGCCTACACTTGGAAGGTTTAAAAGGATGACGGTTCTGTGACGCACCAAGTAGTGATGGAAGAGAGTTTTTGTAAAGGCTTCTCCGCCTTGCTGAGGGGGCAAAAGGAGAGACACTAAGTGGTAATAGTGCAATACCTGAAGTGGGAGACTTCAGGAAGTGGATGCAAGTCGTGTTTGACAGAACCACTATAAATCTTGTGTCTTTTTATTTTTTTACTGTTTTTTACTTTACTGTTTCTATTTGATTTGTGGTTAAAAAGTATTTTTAGAAAATTTCATTAAAAAGTTTGAATCAGTTTAAAATTATAAAAGGGAAAATTTTAAATTATCAATTAACCCCCCCTCTTGGTTAGCCGCTGGGACATAAGCTTAGGTCTAACAAGCTAATTCATATTTAACAAATTCAACATAAGGGTGAGTGTTGACCTCGATTTTCGCTCAAATATCCTCGAGCATCCTCAATCGATTCAATTAGACCTCGTCAAGCCCAATTTGAACTCGGATATGTCCGAATTAATTTAAATTAGACTCGACTTTTAAGATCGATGTCAATTTTGAATTCAATTCGCATTTTAAATTCATAGCACTGGCTCGAACCCGAACTGACTCGAATTGAATCAAAATTGGACTCAAGTCTAACTCAATCTCATCCAAATTTGTCCTGATTCAGCACAATTTAGTTCCACTAAAATCCATCTGGCTTTCTAAATAGTTTGAATCTTTTTTTTTTTTGATCCGGAATGGCCTTGACGGTCTTGATCTTTCCGAAATTCGGATTCTGTCGTGGCTGCAAGCTCCTGTCGCACAAGTCCTCAAACGAGCAGTGAATTCGAACAACTTTAGGTAAGAACAGAGCGTCGCAGTGCCGTTTTGAGCTTTTGAACAGAGTAAAGCGTCGGTAGACGTTAGAAGGCGAGGAGGAAGGGTTAGGTTGGCTGATTCTAACGGATGTCCCGGACTCTCCCCCCCTCCTCTGGGCTCGATCTTTCGTTCTCACGCCCTCTCTCTCTCAGACTCTCTCCCGCACTCACGCTCTCTCCCTCTCTGTCGCTCTCGGTCGGCACCGGCAAGAGGAGCCGAAGCCCCTTTGGCGTTGGCGAGCCCCAGCCCTACACCAAGCCTCCTCTTCCTCACGACAACTCACTCTCCCTCTCTCAGGCCGGTTCCGCCCAGCTCTCGGGCTTCTGCACAAGACCCCCTCTCCAGCTCTCGATCCCGACTCCATCTCCCACTTCCGATCTCTCCCCTTCTCGCTCTGAATCGCGCCCTCTCAGTTCCAAGAGCTGAAGCCCCTCTTTCTCTCTCGCTCTCCCTAGTGTTCGCGGAATCCAGCCAAGGCCGAACCTCTCTTACACTCCAGCTCCCTCTCTTGCTCTTGGGCTCCTTCTCTCTCGGTCTCTCGGCGACGAAGCCCAAGAGAGGTTGGAACCTCCGACCCCCTCCTCTCTCATGAGCGCCGGAGCCTGACGCCATCCTTGCTCATTCCCCTTTGGTCGTGAGCTCCAGGCGAAGTCCGACCCGTCGCCGTGTTCGACGCCTACCCGAGATCACTGCTTCCAGGTGAATCTTGCTTCCACTCGCAGCCGAGTTCCATATCAGTCCGAGACTGCCTTCTTTAGCCAACTGACGCCTCCTCTACTTTTTCTTTAGGGCAGGTAACCTCTTCCATTTCTCCTCTCCCTCTCATTTCCTCTCAGTTTTCTATTCTTCTCCTTGGTCTATCTCTTTCCCCTCTTCTCCTTCAAGAGTGGCAACGGTTGAATGAATATCTCATGGAATGAAGTTATGTTAAAGTTGTTTTTCTTCCTATTATCTCTCTGTTATAATGTCTTTTTCTCATATGGCTCTTGTGAATAGAGTTTTCCACTCATGAATACTTCATTTGGGAAAGGTGAACTAAATGGTTTTATAAAATGTGGGTGTACCTTATAGCAAGGACTATGTTGTTCAAGTTTTTCTTACACACAATCTGTAGGGATTCATGCTTGTTGATGGTTGGAATGAGAGATTTGTTGTTGTTTTTTTTTTATTATATGGTATATTTATTATTTTAAAATTAATTATATATAAAAATAATAAAAAAATCTTTTAATTTCTTTAAAAATTAAAAAATAGAGCTCAACAATCGAGAGCTTTTCAAACAAAACAATCAAGTCAAACTCGTACCTATAAATTTTATAACAGTTGAGGTTGAACTTAGTAAATAAGCTTGATCTCAATAATAACAATATAAATTGATTAGGCAGATTTTTGGCTTGGACTTTTTAACAACCCTAACCCTATTCACACTCCAAAATCTTCTGGTACAAAAATTTTACTCCTATCCGTGGGCCCCGATAGTCACGTGCTTGTCTAGCCCACCTCCTTGACCATTCGTTTGCAATCTTTGCTCGTTTCATCCTGGCTTCGGAACCCAGTTTTAGGCTTTTCGTTCCCCTTCATTCTAAGCAGATATGTATTCCAAGGCCTTAGGGTTTCTTTCTTCTCCAAAATCTTGATGCCCATTTATGACTTCAACTTGAGATTAATTCAACGTGCGGGTTCTGTTGATTCTGTGTTAGAAAGCTGGCTGTCACCTGAAAAATTGGATCTTTTTAGGTTTCCGTCTGTTGGATCGAGCGGAATCTATTGGTTTCGATATGTATCGGAGCGTGGCTACGCGCGGTGGGATGCCAACAGACAGCGGTGAAAGTGGCGTGGTGACGCTCGATCAGGTACCCAGTTGGAATGACACTGATCAGCGATCTTCTTTCCTTTATGGACCAGGAGATTCTTCCACGCCGTTATATTTCTCAGATCCTCTGACTTCTTCTTCTGGATTGAATTCGGGAATTGATGGCATGGTGTCGAGGTTTCCGGTTGACCAAGATATCAATGGAAGGATATATCTATGGCGTGGCAACCCTTGGAATCTTGAGGTCGATGCTGTTGTTAATTCCACCAATGAGGTGAGCGTGCTTTTATGTATGTTTGTAGTCATTTGTCCCGTGGTAATGGAATTTTTTTTTTTCTTTTAGGTACTTCAATGGTTTAATTTTTTGTTTATTTGTTTGCAAGAGTTTGGATGAAGCACATAGCAGTCCCGGTTTGCATACTGCTGCTGGACCAGGTCTTGCAGAGGAGTGTTCTGCATTGGTATGCTTTTTTTTTTTTTTTCTGTAAATTTCTTTGGGGAGTGCGCCTTTACTGTTAATTTAATCTAATTTTGTGTTATGTAGGTATACATGATTTTGAATATAGAGTTTCTCACAATATTTGTTGCAGGGTGGCTGTCGGACTGGAATGGCAAAAATGACTAATGCTTATGATCTCCCAGCCAGGTATGTGCTGAAAGTTCATCATTTTGATTGCTATACCGATTTATATGTTACAGACTTTTTCTCACATCCAATCTTATTTTATTTTGATCAGTTTTATTAGTCTAAACTGAAACGACATTTGTTTATATATTTGATATGCTGAAAGGACTATTGTTTGTATATTTGATGTGTGAAAATACAATGTTGCCCCTCCTACAGCTCCAAATATGTCAGAGAGGGAGGGACGGGCTTATTTTGGGTTGTGGGTGGGATGGTGTGCTATTACTCTCGATATGCTGGTAGCACATTTTTTGTAAGGGATGACGCTCGTGCCGTGAACAGCATGGTTCTTGTGTTTTAGTTATGGATTTAGGAAGATAATTATGATTGTCAAAGGTCTTCATAGATTTGCACTGGGGAAAACTCCTTTCCAACCGGCATAGCAAGAAAATTATGCTGCCTGGTAGGTTATTTTTGGTTACGTGCTTCCTATTACTAAGAAACATCATTCATTATGTTTATATATTCTTTTCATACATTCATTGTTTAAGATGACACAATATAAGGCTCGTCTTGAGGCCCACCTCATTGTAACTCCAGTGAAAAATATCTCGAGGCTTATGCTTCAGACTTTTTTTATGAGGCTTGCACCTTAGCTTGACTGATGCCCGCCTTGAGGGGCACCTCTCCTTGCTTGTGTGAAGTGTACGCCTCTCCTATATATATATATTACTAAAACTTACCTGAATCCTAAACTAAAGCCCTAAAATAAATCACACATTCATGCACCCTCGAGCTGCAACAACTTCCTCTCGATTGCCTCAACCTCTAGCTTGCCGCCTATGCTGCAGCCACCACTATCTTAGCCCCGAGGATCACTTGAAAGCTGTACACCGCCACCTCTAAAAATTTTGGTTTTTACTCTCATCCATGACAAATATTTATGAAATAGGAAGATGAATTAAACAAATGAAGAAGAAGTAGATTGAGAAGCATTGGACTCCACAGGATGAGATAAGGGTGTCAAAACCGGGTAACGGGTCGGGTTCGGGTCAAACCTAGAACTGACCCGGGTTCAAACTGGTCAACCCTAACCCAACCTGGGCAGGTAAACGGGTCAGAAATCCGAACCCGACCCCGACCCGACACGGGAAGCAGACGCAGGTGCGCGAGTAGAACGCCGGCAGCTGGGCAGGCAAGAGCGCGAGCGGGCGGTCTCGACAAGCGTACGGGTGTCCTCGGTAGGCGTGCGGGCTGCCTCGGCTGTCGAGCGGGTGGATCGCTGCTGACGTTGTTGCGCGGGCAGCTAGGCGGGCAGGGCGAGGGCAACGGGGGCAAGAGCGGGGGCAACCTGGGCAGATGCGGGCAATGCATGTTAAACGGGTTGGCGGGTTGGCCCAGCAACCCATCGGGTCAACCCGAACCCGACCCTTTTTTCAAACGAGTCGAATCCGTGAACTCGAACCCGACTCGTTTTGAAATCGGGTCGGGTCAAACCTGAACTTTCAGAGTCGGGTTCGGTCGGGTTTTCGTGTCATGTAAAATATTAACACCCTTAGGATGAGGCGGGGGAGAAAATAATTTGTTATGGGAAGGGGAGACGGTCTAGAGAGAGAAGCTTCAAGATTCTAGAGAGAGAAAGTCATCGTTTTCAAATTTTTTTTCCCGGTTCTCTTTTTCGTTCTTCGCGGAATTGGCGGGGAAGGAGTTTATGGATGGCCGTCGGCCTTCTACGGCGACGGTAGGTAATGGTAATGCCAAAGGATTTGGTAAGATACAAATCCTTGCGGCTAAAGGAGTTCAGGATGGAGTCTCTGGTTTTAAGAAATTAGATGGATTGATGAACAATCGATTGAAAGGTCAGTTGATTATAAGGGAACCTATTGAAGATAATTCCAAGAAGGTCTTTGATGCTGAAGGCAAAGGTAAGGAGGTTGAGCTGGAAGGAATGATAGGTTCTTCGGAAGCTGCTTAGGTTTTTCGTAATCTTGATTCGAATGTTCTTTCAGCCTCTTCCTCTGATATGAAAATTTTCGTTAATAGGTTTGGGATGTCAAATGCTATCCCTGGTCACACAGGGATAAATGCGACTACTCGTAATTCTATTTTGGAAAATTCTCATATCAGTGGTTATTTGGGTTCGGAAGATGATCAAGTTGAAGGTAAGATGAATGAGGTATTGACAGATAGCAATGAAGTGAGAGGTGTTGAGAATCCCTGGAAGAAGAAACCGTACATCAAGTTGGATTTTAAGGATGATGATTTGGTGATGTCTGAAGACGGTGTGGCTGTCAAACTAAGGGATGATATGGAGATTTTGAATTCCAATAAACATAGGAATTCATTGGTTATTAAGGTGTTTGAGAAGGAGATCCCTTCACATCTGGTTGCTTGGGATGTGAGGCGGCAGTGGAAGTTGTTTGGCAATTTTCATTTTACTACTCTTGGAAGAGGATGGTTTTTATGTTCTTTTTGTTCAGCAGAGATGATGGAAGGTGTTTTAATGGGAGGTCCGTGGTTTGTAAATGGCCACATAATTGGAATGGAACGTTGGACAGCTGAATTCTCTACCTTTTCTTTGAAAGGGCTGACCTCTCCAATCTGGATTAAATTACCTCATCTACCATTACAATGTTGGGATGAAGTCAACATGGCAAGGATAGCTGCAATGGTTGGAAGACCTCTTATGTTGGATGGAAACTTATTCCAATGGGGTAAGAGGGAATTTGCCTGAGTTTGCGTTTGGGTCAAGCTTGATCAAAGCCTCCCTACTGGAGTTTGGGTAGAAAGCATTTCGGGAAGATTTTTCCAAAGAGTTGAATATGAGCGAATTTCATCCTTTTGTTATGATTGTAGGATGGTGGGGCACTTAAAAGTTGACTGTAAAAGAAGAAGTTCAACGGCTATGGACAGTAATGTTATTAATGATAATGTCAAGGAAATGCAAGGGGTGGATATGCAGACTGAAGAAAACAATGGTTCTAAGTATGGGCCTTGGATTATGGTAAACAGGAAAAACTTTAGAAAACAACCTTTGGTGAAAAGAATATGGAAGAAATCTGATAATAATCAGGTTTTTAAAAAGAAGATAGTGGAAAGGGAAATTTCTAAAGCTGGCTTTGAAGACCAGGATGACATTGTTCCTATTAAGAAGCAGATAAAGAAGGTGGAAAATCAGCTTGAAGAAGGTGAGATTGATACAGAAATGGAAATTATGGGAGACAATAAGGAGCTGGAGGGTTCAGAACTCAATCTGGATCTAATTGACAATGAAGTTGACAAGGACGTCCTAAATACGGGTATGGTTTCTCTCAACTCTAATCCTTGTCAAATTAGTGAAAACATATTTCAGATTTTGGTAAATGAAGATATGGATGGAGAGGTTCTATTTGTCAAATCTGGGAAACCCGCTGTTGATGAAATTATTTGTAAAAATGGGGCAAATGCCAGGGAAGATGTTGTGGTATCTTAAGGAATTTTGAATAATTCTGTTTGTGAAGGTAGCTGTATTCGGGGTGTGAAGACCAATAGTGGTAATGGGGATGTGGTTAAGAGCAAGCTGGCTAAAGAAATTAGATATTTGGGTCCAATTTCGGTTAATTCAAGAGGAAGGATTGGTGATGGAGGTAGTAGGAAGAAGGTTGGGGGTTCTTCCCCTAAAAAAGTTTAATGGGATCTTTAGCCTTTTGGAATTGTTGAGGGGCTAGAAAGAGAGAAGCCTCTCTCTATTTGAAGGAGTTTATTAAAAATTACAAGGTGTTTTTTGTTGGATTGGTGGAGACAAAAATCAATTCTTTTGATAAGAATGATTTTATGAAGCTTATGGGTCCTGCTTGGGATTTCTTTTTAGTTCCTTCTGAAGGTCTATCAGGAGGAATTATGATTTTGTGGAAGAGTGATATGGCATCTTTTTCAGTGATTAAAGCATTGGATCAATGTGTTATTGGTGATCTCAATGTCTTTAATAAGGGTATTTGGATGATTACTACTGTGTATGGGAGTAAGGATGTTCAGAAGAGAAGGAAGTTGTGGGAATGCATTGGGGAACAGTCACATAGAGATCTTCCTTCGGTTATTGGGGGAGACTTTAATTGCATTTTATCTCAAGAAGATAAGAAGGGTGGTAGGAAGTTTGTTTTTTTCTCAAGGCCCCTTGGAAATGTCTACCTTTATGTATGAGAATGATTATCATGATGTTAGGGTGGTTGGCCCTAGATATACTTGGTGTAATAATAAGGTTGGTGGTGGGAGAATCCTTGAAAGGTTGGATAGGTGTTTGCTGAACTCTTTGGCTTCAGATCTTGTGCATCTTGGGGTGGAGATACATTTAGCAAGAGTGGCTTCTGATCAAGGGGATGCTAATACAAAATTCTTTCATGCCTTTGCTAATGGGAGAAGAAATGCTAAGTGGATCTACCAAGTGAAGACTGATAATGGAGAGATTTCTGAAGACCCAAGGGTTGTGGAAGAAATTTTTCTCAGATTTTTCCAAAGTAAATGGAGGCATAGAAGTTGCAGTTTGTCTAGCTGGCCAAAACCATGGACTGTTCTGGATGATGAAGAGAAGTTTTTGCTAGAAAAAGAAATTTCGGTGGAAGAAGTTAAGGTGGTTGTTATGGGGTTGGGAAACAACAAATCTCCTGGATATGATGGGTTGACTCATTCCTTTTTCAAAGGTTATTGGGAGATTATTGAGAAGGATGTTTACAAGGAGGTTAGTTTATTCTTCTCCTCGGGAAGGATGTGCAAAGAGTGGAAAGACACTTTAGTTGTGCTGATTCCTAAGTATTCTAATCCTCTTTCTCCTTCTGGATTTAGACCTATTAGTTTATGCAATTATATTTATAAAAATGTTGCTAAAGTGATTTTGAATAGAATGCTAATGGTGATTCCCAAGATTATCTCAGAAGAACAGGTTGCTTTTGTGAAGGGGAGATCCATCTCTGATCATCTGTTATTAGCTCAAGAGGTCTTCAACAAGTTCAGATTTTCTAAGGCAAGCAATGGATATGTGGCTATTA